CCCACAGTGGGCCTTATCGACAAGTACGCAGCTGCGTTCATAACTTATATGCTAGTGAGCTACAGAGCAGTCTTATAACATCGATTACCAAACCACGTCAGCATGTACACTAACACTGCAGATCTGTGACGTCACACCAAACCCACTAGTCACCAATCGGCTGTCACGTCCCCAACTTGTGACGCTATAGTTCAATAAATGACGTCACAGCACTGCTGCTATCATTTATGACGTCACCCTTTACTCTACGCCACCAGAAACTCCCGAGTCATTATCACGTCACGTCACTAGTCCAACTTGACGTTAACTCGACCAGTTAAACCACGCAGCACACAGGTCGGCACTGCAGCGCTTTTCCTACCGTTGTAGGCGATCATGCTCCTGGCTTCACCAGACGCAGCAGTCGTCGGCACGGCTGGACGAACCATTGCAGCAGCTGCTAATCAGGTGCAGCAGTCGCTCCGCCGCCGGTTGGAGATCTGTCGAAACTGTAGCCGCGGTACCCGCTCCCATACAAACGGCGCTCAGCCGTAACTGGCCTTTATTTGGTCGTTTCTGTAGAAACAAACAGTACGAAAATTAATGCAACGAAAACAGCAAAACATGCACATAACGCGGGCGACAACAAAAGCAAATAACATAATACAACCAACGAGACAAATAACGTCACCGTGCGCCAATTCCTCACACAATCCGAACAGCGCGGCAATTCTCCCGATAATTAACATTTATCTTCAGCTTGCAAATCCGATAGTAAATGTGTTCAGCAATAACATTTCAATGTGCCAGAGACCAACAACATTCGTTACATACCGACAGGTAACGCCTCCTGCGGGACATTCCACGCGGCTCGCTCCTGACACGACGGTCACCATCGAATCATACCTAGAACAGGTCAATAAGTTTTCTCAGGTATCTGCGCCAATAACACTGAACTGAATATCACATATTTCATGCCGACGTAAATAAAAGAACAATATCAATTTCAGGTCTCTCAACTCACCATCAGTTGCGACGGAGCACAGCACACAACGTCACATTATCGCCTCTCGACCAGCAATGGCGCCGCGACCCAGTCGCCGGTCACTGCGACACGCCCCGCGCACGAACACATGACGTGGCAGCTCGAAAGTAAATCGCACAACATCGGGATACTTATAACAGTGTTGGAAATATTGTTGAATAAATAAGCACCCGAAACAATCAATTTTAAGCATTTGCAATTACAGATACATATAAAAACGCTTATGCTATATTGTGTCGGACGGCACTACTTCTTAGGTCACTCGCGGTTAATCATTAGCGGCATCTATCGGCAGTGGTCACATTTACAGGCTCGGGTAGCCGGCCAAGTTGGCGTCGAGCCAGAAAGGCGCACGGTGAACTAAGGACAAATCATATTGGAACAAAAGATAAGGGAACGGAAGGAAAAAAGGAAACGATAGAGCGCGGCGACCACAGTATGATTAATATATATTTTTTATTCTAGCTGTTTTTTCTACTGTATTCTGAAAACTTTCGGTAGTGGTTCTTAAAGGGACTATCCCACCTTCTAAAATGTTGTTAAAACCAGTTAAATTGTGCCCAACTTTATAGAATGGATGTCCAGGAACACGGTTCTGGCATTTATTTTTCATTAAACATCTTAGGCTTCCCATATTCCAAACACAAACTTTCAAATATGTGACGTCACAGCTCAAAATTACCTCCTTCCCCAGGCCACATTACTGTCATAAAGCTGATTCTTTTTACTCTGTAGGCACCACAACAAAGTACAGACCAAGTTTTAAGCGATTTTTCAACGAACAAACCCATTTAACCCTCGCCGGCCGAGGGGGGGGCGGGTGCCGCCCCCCCCCCATAGGGTTTTTTCGCGATAGCTCCGAACACGCTGGCGATAGAAAGCTGAAACTTGGCATACCTGACCTTTGATTCAAGCCGGATCTTTTGACACTAACCGCATTTTTGGGTCAGGTCACGTCACTGACCTATGACGTCATAAGTGAACCTCTGCACGGTCTTCAGATGTCGCAACTTCGCAACGCCCTCACTGCCAGAGGAGATGTCACAGGGAAATGAAACTTGCAGGATTTAGTATCCATTATGAGTCTCACAATTTGTATATCTCGGATTTTTCCTAAAGGTCATATTAGGTCAGGTCATTTTCGTGACCTCACCATTATAAGTCAATGGGGAAAAATGAAAACTGCTATTCTGGCGCCGGGAACGATCTCCAACTATCTCAAGCACACAGAATCGTGATTTGATGCACTCCCTGCAAGGTTAGATGTGTCACTTTTGCAATGTTGACCTTGCGTGACGTCATTTATGACGTCATCAAGGTCATATTAGTTTTTCGTCAATAACTCTTGATCAAATTGAGCTAGCGAGTCGGGAAAGCCACCAATGGACTCAGGAAGGCCTGCCCAATCGAATGATATGCGACATGACCTCTTTCGACCATCTTCGTGACCTGGGGATGCTGACCTGACCTTGGCCTGAGGTCAACACCCCAAGTTGACCTGACCCGGACAAAAAGTATATCATTCGACGCGCCTGAGCGAGGCGAACACGATGCTGCCAAAATCGGCGCTCTGCGGCCGTTTTTTTGCGAAGTTATTCACCAAAAACTGAACCGTACCTTGGGGCACTTGACCTGACCTCAGAGGTCACCGGTTGACCTAGGACCTTAAAATCGGGTACCAATCTCTGCGTCTCGTAACGGCGCACACGCTCGTTTTTTCCGCGACGCGCTAGCTCCACCAGGGGCGAAACGGCGAGGGGGGGTCGTACCCGCCCCCCCCCCCCCTCGGCCGGCGCGTATGTAGAAAACCAATAGGTCCGGCGAGGGTTAAATCAGAATGACTAAACGAGGTGACGTCACACTAACGGTCGCTCCATGTTGAAGATAGGGCCTTGTACAAGGCCCATTTTCAAATGAAGGGAACGAATTTCTTCAACACCAAGAGGCCGCGGGGGTTGCAACCTAGATAGATAGTGGTTTCTGAACCTCGCCGCAAACTTGGCTATCTCAACTCAAACCCCATGTTAAAGGTGGGATAGTCCCTTTAATGGAGTTATTAATAATCATGAATTGCAATAGTTGGCGGTAAAAGATAAAAGTTAGTAGATATTACTATTGCGGCGCCGACTTGTTAATTACGAGTATAGGAGCCGCACTCTTAACTCCCGTTGCCCGTTGCCCGTTCCCGCCCAACTCCGTCGCGGTCCCTAATACTAACACCATCACTACTGGCACCGCCACCACGGCTCGCATTCATCATTTCTTATACGTTTCCCCACCAATCGCGCCACTATACTGTGGAAACGTCCGCGCTAAATGCCCGCAGCCCTTCCAAAAGTGGCGCCTCACAAAGGGCCGGTCATTACAAATTATTTCCGGGCATATTCAGGCGTGATTGTGATGGATGGTGGTCCGTTCGTGTTGCAGAGAGAGGTTTGATCGTTTGTCGGCGGCCGGGGCCCAGTGGCGCTGATTGGCCGGAGGACGGCACGGGTCGCAGGCGGGGACCGCAGCGGCCCGGCGCACGTAATTGCCGGCCGGTGTCCCCGCAAAACCAGCGTGGGTAGATTGATGAACATTAATGCCTGGCTAATCTAAAGATATGCTGCGCTCGGTGACTAAACGAATTCGTTTCGCCCACGCCACGTCGAAGTATGCTCTAAGCCAAAACAGGTGGATATTATTTTGCGTTTGCCTGTGTTTTTCGGACAAGTAGTTAATCAATACGCTTACGTTCAGAGAAGAAAATTGATTCCACTGGTCAAGTTACAGAGCTAGGCTATACGTATTTGAAGCCCGTCCGATTTCATAAAAACCATAACATGAGGCACTTATCCGAATATTTCTATATATGTATGCGCTCTTGCAGTGCTCCCACGAATCTTTGATCTTGCTTCGCATTGTGTTATTATAGCATTAGCTCTCTGAATGTGGCCGGGACACGAATAACTGCACCCAGCGACCTGTGCGGCCGCAGCAGAAATTCTGAAATTCCGATCCGTCGCAGCGGTCCGCCGACGAGTCCCACCACTAATGAACTTGTGCGCGATCCGCTTGTGGCAAATTGTTTTTCGAAAAGCCCACGCTGTCCCGCGATGAGTTAACTAAGCTGCTCGTCCAACCAGTGAACAACGTGCCAGCTTACCGTAAAGACCTTAGAGCGACGAGAGGCTGGTTCGGGGACGGTGCGCAGCCGGCGGGACACTGGGGGCGGTCAAAAACAGCTCCCCGGGGGCAGGATGCGTGTTCACCGCCCCTGAGGCTGCTGGTGTGAGATGAGTGAACTGTATTCAATCACATCTATCACTGGCGGGTGATTTGATGCCTGAAATGGAAACTCTGCTTTTCTTTCAGCTCGACTTGTTAGTTGTCGGTTTTTGAGGCATCCATTGAGGTAGTTTATTGTTTTTGTGTGGAAATAGTGATCAACGTCAAGATGATAGGCAATGAATGACAGCCTTAGATGATAAGCGCAGGGGGGGGGGGGGGGGGGGACTTCAGCTGCAACTTGTTTGGTGGGTAATGTGAGTGATCAGTTACGCAGTGCGTAATATTTCCCCGGGAAGGAGCGCCACAGAAACTGTTGATTGGTGTAATCAGGCAGACTGCAACCTCGAGGGTGAGCTGACAATATTGGATAACTTCGCGGCCTGCCTCTCTTCCCCCTGAACTTTGTCAAGAGCCACTTCCTCTTTGAACGCTAAACGGAGACAGGCTCGTCTGACTTGGAAGGCACTATCAAAGTTTCAATAACAGATGCTGCCGATCGAGTCTGTTTAATATGTTGTATCGCATGCTGGATCGCAAGGCGTGGCTGTGGGTCTGCGAGAGGAGCGGCGATAGAGCCCTGCGCTGGCTGGCGAAAGACTGGCAAAACCATGTCAGTTTTCGCGGTGACATTATTTTGCTTCAAAGTTAGATACAATTAGGTACCTTATAGAAAAGCATTTGCTGCCAAATAGAAAACTGGTGCAGCTCATACAGCCCAAACTTTATTTCACACAAGATTAACGGTCAGTTATTTTCACTGCACATTGTCAAATTTCCATAAATAATCCAGACAGAAGTTTCCAACTAACTCAGTAAAATCTTATCTGGGGGAAGATTTTAGACGTCTCCCTGCTGCAGTTCTCTTCGCCCGCAGCGAAGAGGAATAAGCGGCCTATGATCTTCATACACCCAGACACAGATTGTCAGTCTTCGCCATTTCTCCGTTATAGTTTTCACCACGATAGTGTCGGAGATAAGTGTTTCTATTGCCTTTTACACTTCTCTTTCCATATTTTTCATCCTTCATCCAGATTCAGCACAATAGGTGTCTGTAAAATAAAAGAAGTGATTAGATTATCGTTGATGGTGCGTGCTTGAGCCAAAAGGGCGATCAGTTATAGTTCAGTAATGCCAAAATTATGTCACAACATGCCATTAACTGCATGCCTACAAATTAAGATCAAATTAAATTCAAAGCTGCAAGACATCGCTTGTTTTGGTATCCAATAGGCCTCTTCCATTTAAATAGGTACTCTCATCTCCGACGCGCCGCCCTCACCAGTGTGCTCGTGTTTGGGCCAGTCGGCCGGGTGGCCGGCCCCGGCGGGGAAGCCGTCCCCTGGAGTCTGCTGCGCCCCCCGCTGGGGGCCGGGGTACTCGGGGGACGGCTGACCGGTCGGCGGGGAGCGCTGCACGCCGCTGTCGTCACTGCCGGCGCCTGTGGAGAGGGGTAAATGACGGTTCAATGAGCTGAAGTGGGCTCAATGAGAGATCAGTTTGGAGGTGAGCTGATGGCAACAACGAGCTAATGATGAGCACACTGCAATGTGAGTCAGCAACCAGACTCGATGTGTACTCTTCTTTATCTTGGGCACATAGATGCAAACTTTGACATTGTAACCAGCTTCGAGCTCAGATCAATAAATAAAGCAACCAGTGCGGTTGTATGCAGGCATTACTTCTGTTGATCGACTCATACAAGCAAGTATGTAATTACCTTTTTTGCAAGGAATTACCTTTGTCGGCCCGGATCATTCATTGAAACTCCATAAACTCCACATACTCTAACGTCATACAAGCAATCTCCCCCTCCCTTAGCATGATTCCTCTCCGAGGTTTCATGTGCCGCGCTCTCGCCCATCACCGCACAGCTATTGTCGCTGCTGCCGCTGCCGCCGGCGTTGTACTCTGTCGAGCAGAGTTCCGAGAGCCTCCCGGTGGCTGCCCGACGGGTACAGATCAGCTGCAGACGGTACTGCAGGTACTCGGTCAGCCAGTGGTACAGGCCGCCGGCCGCTCCTGGGGTACAGGGTACGCGTTAGACGGACCCTAAAGCTATGTGGTAAATTGCCTTCTTAAAATTATTGGAATTACGTTTTTGCAAGGAGTTACCTTTGTCGGCCCAACTTTCAAAATAATCTGTTTATTTGTGGGACGGGAACGGGAGATGGTTACATTTTAGTAGAGCACACGGTCCGAGTTCAAGAATCGGTGGAGACTTCCACTGGCGTCCAACTAACGTCTAACTGAGCAGACGTCCAAGTTGGCGTCTAACTTGGCGTCTAACTGTTGGACGGATACTTCCAAGCTAGACGCGTCTTAAGTTAGCTGTCGCCAGCTAGGCGCAACCGCCGTCCAGCTAGACGCGTTTAAGACTTCGACGCGTCTAGCTAGACGCGAAATGGAAGTCTCCACCCATATGATGATCTCGTGGCTTTCGTTGCCACTAATTGAACGGTACCCGCCGGACGAATGCCCACCGGTCGCCCTCTGCTCACCGTTCTGCGGCATCCTGCGCAGCACCTCCCTGCAGAAGGTGTCCCAGGCGAGCAGCGCCCAGCGCGCGCAGTGTTCCACACTCTGAGCACCGCCCGTGTCGGCGGCCCCTCCGCCCTCCCTGCCCAACAGCCTGGCCACCAGTCTGTCCACGAAACTGAGGAACGCGCCGGGCCCCGAGTCCGACTGCAGGAGACCCTCGAACTCGGACGCGGCTGAAACAAAACACGATAAACGTGAATTACAAGAGATATTCGAGCAGCATTGCTATCAGAAGCGTGCGACCGTCTTCCCTGCCTTGTTAAAGATAGCAACTGGTCGATGTCTGTAATCCTGAAGTACGCAAAATCGATTCACTGACTCCCGACACTGCCCAGTTTCCCACTATCTCTGGGAAGGTGAGCTGACTCTTCCGCTGACCGTTGGTGACGCAGTAGAAGTCGGCGTGGTGGGCGGCTCCCAGTGTCAGCTGAACCACCTCGTACAGATCCACGGCGTGCCAGGAGCTCAGCAGGCGCGCGCGGGCCGGCTGGTCGCTCAGCAGCCGCCAGCCGGCCTGCTGAGCGCGTGCCAGCTGCGGCAGCCGTTGCAGCAGCCGCCGCAGCTCGCAGCAGCCTGGCGGAGAGACAGACGTGAACAAGAAACACAAAATGTTACGGTACAATTGAGAAGCAGTTATATTCACGTGCTGGATCCGCATGACAGACATCAAAGATCCACGCACTGGTTCGAACATCGAGTATGTTTGCGTGTCCCGGATCTTGACTTTACTTGAATACTGCCTATTTGAAACGTGCAATGCTTTTGGCCTGGACGATAAATCCCGTGGCTATCAAATCTCAAATTTCATTTTGCTTATCTTCAATCAACTGCCTAAGTGGTTATATGATTGTTTCCACTTTCCTCAATATTAAGTGTGTCCATTCTCGGTTTCTGCCGCCCTCTGTGCCGGCGCCCCCACTCACAGTCGAGTTTGACGGCCTGCAGCTGCGCCGGTGTCTGGGAGAGCACGGCCACCTGCCAGCCGCGCAGCTGCTCGCCGAACCCGGCCGAGCGCTCTGCCTCCTCCTGAGACGCCTGGGGAAGTTACCGGGCCGGTCGGGACCGATTAGCCGCGCACAATACCGCCTCAGAGCCGACCGGGGAGGCTGGCGACAGTTCCCAACTCGACACTGATTGTCTCATCAGCTGCACTGAATGGCCGATCAGCCGATATAGGCTGCAGGAGAACTGAGCTCATTTGCGTATTCAGTGCCGTTAAATAGAGCGGTATTTTAAACTGGGCGTGACGTCCAGACCGAGTTCAGAATGAGCGCTGTGCAATTGAATCATTCAGCTGGGGAATAGCTCCGTCTGTAGTCTTTGTCGAGCGACTTCCCCCCCCCTCTCTCTCTCTCTCTCTCTCTCTCTCTCTCTCTCTCTCTTTCTCTCTTTCTCCCTCCTCCCTCTCCTTCCGCTCCCCTCCCCTCCCCCTACCTCGCTCCCTCCGGGCAGCAGCGTCTCGGCGATGGCGTGATACAGGAGGCCGTCACACGCTCCCACAGCCTGGACCACCACGTCATGGTGCAGCAGCGCCCGGACCGGCTGCGGCAGGCCGTGCCAGAACTGGGATATCACGTCCCGCACCTGGCGATAGAGGGCGGGGTCTGTGTCAGCGAGTCATTGAGTTGGTTAGGTGAGGCTGAGGAATCGAAAGATATGCGTTCTGGCTCATAGCTAGATTTAAAGCGTCCAACTCAGGTCATTCAGGCGAAGATAGCACCAACGGATGTTGTCGATACAACTCCCACTGTCGTTCAAAGACCACAGCGATTGGTGACTTCACCTATTGAATGCTCCCTGCTGCCCCGAGTTCGGTCGCACCTGGTCAAAGTGCTCCGGCTCTGGTCCTCACCTGATCAAAATGATCCGGATATGGTCCTCACCTGGTCAAAGTGTCCGGCCGTGACGAGGTCGAGCAGCGTCCGGCAGTGGGAGCGGTACAGTGTGTCGAACCGGTGCAGGGTAGCTCTGGCCACCCCCGGCTCTCTCCAGCCGAGTCGAGAGAGGCACGGGAACTCGGGCAGCGCCGCCTGTAACCGCGCTGGCCGGTCCTGTGCCGAGAGGGGCGGAGACACGGAACAGACGGCCGAGACACGGGTCAGCTGCGGGCGGTGGGAGCGGGGAACGACAGATGGGTTGGGACGAGATGCATCGCAAATATCAAACAGCACATTTAGAAAAGTTGGTTCATGTGATTCAACACGTTTATAACCTTAACCCGGCCGGGCCCGGGGGGTAATCCCAACCACCGCAGCCCGGGGGGGGGCGTTTCCCCCCCCCCTGTCTAACTCCGTAAATATGGGAGCTACGGAAACAAAAGCGATACCAAACGAAAGGTCCTTACGAGACGATTCTAAGGCACCTAAAATTTTTGACCTCAGGTCAATTTTCAAGGTCAGAGGTCAAGGTCAAAGGCAAAAACCGGCACATGTGTAGTGATCTCAAAGTAAGCCTTCTAGAAGACGGCAGGATTTATCAAACCGGCAAAATTGGGTGTTAAACGAAAGAAGAGAATCTGAGGATTCCGAAACTGTGCTCAAAATTAAAGGTCAAGGTCAAGGTCACGCCCAAAATTGACCTCAAACTTTGCACTTTTTTGTACATCTTGCGTGCTAACTTCCAAAACGTTTTGAAATGTTTTGAGGCTTATCAGTTCCCTATTTGCAGTTGATCTTACGATACAAGGCTGCTCAAAGGTCAAGGTCACAGAAGAGTATCCTTGCTAGAGGCTATTTCACTTATTCAAGTTAGTAATAATAAATAAGACAATTTTGCCATCCGGAAGCTCTAAATGAAGGCTTAGAGGAAAACAGATGCCAGATTCGTGATCAGCGGGTACAAATTTATCATAAACGACCTTTGATGTGTCAAGGTCAACCAAAGGTCATTCGAGGTCACATGAGGTCAACATAAAGTTTGACCTTTTCCAAATAAAATATATATCATTCGACGCGGCTTGACAAGGCGAATGCGATGGTACCACTGCCGTAGCTCTAGGACCATTTTTGTCGAAGTTATTTGCGAAAAACTAAAACCACATTTCGGGGTCATTGACCTGACCTCTGACCTCAGGTCACCCATATTATTTTTATATTTTTCTCTAGGTTTAAACGCTACACAACCGTGCTCGTAATTTGTCTTTATCTCTAAAACTATATTTTTAGCAGCTATTTGAAGTTCGCGTCTGTGACGCCGAAGTTTTCCGTGCAGGGGTCTATAAAAATCGACCTTGTGACGTCATCAAGGGGGCTAGGTCCAAATTTTTAACTTCAGAAGATGTCAAATTGATGGGAGAAAAGGTACTGAAAGTTTCGCTTTCCTATCCCAAGGCGTTCGGGAGCTATCGCAAATATTCGTCATGGGGAGGGGGGCGAAAAACGCGCCCCCCCCCCTTCCCCGGGCCCGCGAGGGTTAAGACATTTATCACGTTTGTATGTGGCATGGGAAACACCTTGAGAAAGGAAGAGGTTTGTATCACATGTAACAAAACCGTTATCAAACGACAAAATATCTCACGAGGTGAGATACGAGAGCATTATGAGATACTGATATCCAGCAGTCTTTTAGGATTATCTTCATGCCCATGGAAAGTGTTTACATTTGTAAGAAAAAATGCGACTTATTTTTGGTGGTAATGGAGGGTTTATCGTGCGAGTTACCACGCCTCACCGGTGAAACTACCGTCCCATCCGCAGCAATCTTCATTGAAAGTGGTGCATTCGGATGCATAACACTCTTGAAAGAAGATATACTCGACGCAGACGTGTAAAGTGCATGCATGTTGCGTGCCATTTAACAAATTAGGAGTGAGAGTGCCATGAAAGAAAATATTCAAAAGTGTTTATTCAGTAATCGAGGAAATAATTGAAAGCTAACAACAAATTTTGTAGATATGGTGTTGAGTGCTCTTGCGAGGAACATATTGTTATAAAAACTCAAAATGAATGACCTTTTCCTCGAATATAGAAAGTTGAAATGTCGAAAATGATATATTAGGTGAATTTTCGCCCAAAGGGCATCATCAGACAATATTTGTGCCAATTGCTTGTCTGATGATGCCCTGTGGGCGAAAATTCACCTAATACATCATTTTCGACATTTAAACTTTCTATATTCGAGGAAAAGGTCATTCATTTTGAGTTGTTATAACAAATTTTGTAGCAACATCAAAGCACAATTGAAAAATTGAAATTGAAAAAATTTGTCGTGTTAGTGTTATGTACCTGAGCTATGTTGTGCATGGGTGGAAGTCGCACAGATCAACTCATACGCACCTCGAAACTGTTCGCTGGCGCATGGGTCTTCTTCTTCTTTACACTAGAAAATAGGCTCTGTCAGATCACATAGACATCCACACGCTCTGACGATGTCCTTATAGTACGCTAAGATACACTAAATTTCGCACATTCCTTGTTGTGAAGCCGAGACAGGCACTTGTTTGCATAATAAGTAGGTATTTACTTCCCAAGCACATTCGTGAGCAAGACGGGCTAGTCGACGACAGAACAAAGCCGAGGTAATTTCTTCATCCTTTCATAGACAAAGCCAAGTAGTCCCTGGCCGGTAGGTAGATTCTCGGCGGGTAAATTACCTGGTGTGCCTCTCCGAGTAGGCGGGATGGTAGAACCGGGACGTGGGTGATACCGCCAGGCCGTAGTAATAATAACGCGACTTGCCGCGCGTTCCCAGCCGCCGCGTGGTCAGACTCGGGTATTGGTGGCGCACAATCTGCAAGTCAATATAGTGAATGGTGAAACGTATTTAAAAGAATCCAATGTATATGTTACAGACCGTATGAAAACCCAGTCCGTTTGCAAACGGCCTGGCCCAGTCAGGCCGTTTGAAAACGGCCTGAAAAAGCCGGCCGTTTGCAAACCGCCTGAAATATCAGGCCGTATGAAAACGGCCTAGGCAGTTTGAAACGGCCTAGACAGTTTGAAAACGGCCTAGTCAGTTTTCAAACGGTCTGGCGAAGTACAACAGCCTCTGAAGATTGAACTTAATGGATCCAGGTTGGTCGATGATCAGGTTGCATCCATGTGAATGCTTGCGCATTCCATGCCGAATGACTCGTCTACATACGTCGAACATTTTCTTACTGTGCTGATGCTCGGCCCGGCCGTTTTTCGACAATATTACTAATTATACAAGTTCACGGTCCGCCTGTGTACGGCCATCCAGTTCATGGAGCCTGGTAAAGCCACTACTGGTGAGATCTGGTGAAACGTATCACTACAAGACTCACCGATTATTTTGCGGCATAAAACGCCGGAGCGCGCAATGGACATCAGAGTTCACATCAGTGGCGCGGGAACCGGGGAGGGGGGGGGGGGCTAGCGGGGGCTGAGCCCCTCCAACTTTTTCGGCTGGGGGGGGGCGCTTGTAATGTATTTGAGCCCCCCCCCCCCCCCACCCAGCTGGAGGAATCGAAATCGGAAATCTACCAACATAATTTCATAGATTCATACATAGGCGCGGGAACCGGGGGAGGGGGCAGTGGGGAAACCTGCTCCCACAGCTCTGGGGCCGTGGGGGCGGTGCCCCACAACTTTTCATGAGGTCAGGAACCGTTGGGGCAGCTTGTCCTCTCCTCCCCAAATTAGGGGTTGTGGGTCACAAAGGAAGAAAGCATGTAAGTGAAAAATCCACCTCTTTCACTGGCTCGGCAACTCATTTGGCAGATTAAAACCTTTATTCCAGGTTGCCAAAACGGTAGTTTTTTCACTCAGTTGATACGGGATACCTGACTTTTTTGCAAATATTTTCGTTTTTTTGCTGTTGAAAAGGCCAAGGTCTGAAAAATAAGTGGCCTAAAACCGGTGAGAAAACTAGATTTGGGGGTACCCTAGGTTGATCTCTATTATGGTTCAGCCCCCCCCCCCCCAGTCTGGATCGAAGAAGTTCCCGCGCCACTGGTTCACATTAGAGTCCTCACCGCGCCCGGTCGACCGCCGGCGGCTGGCCGGTGGCGTACGCCGGCAACACTTGACCATTGCGGTGGAAGGCGAAACTTTGAAGTCCGGGGGAAGCCCGGGTCGGTCGGGCGCTATACGGGCCGGGTCTCAGTTCTGCTAATCTATTCCTAACCAGGCCTGCATTCGTCATCGGGAAAATCAGGGAGAATTTTCCGGAACTAGCGAGAATCATCGAACGGTATCGCGATAACGAGACATGCTGAAGATAGGCGCTCAACAATAA